CTCGGAAGATAAAGGTAATTTGATGAGCAGGATTACATCCTCTCATGTCCTTGAAAAAGATTCACCGGTCATTTTCTAATTCTTATTATTAGTCTTCATCAGTTCAATAATTTAGATTAAGTGGGACATAAATAAATTAATAAGAACTTCAATAGATTTCTTTTTTAATTACCATGCTCCAGTTCATTGTCATCCAATTTGATCAACATTGTTCGCAATTGTTATCATGCATCTTGACTTCACCATTGTTGGACTTCACCATCTCGGAGAAAGCATATATATTTTTTATATGAATTTCATGTAATAAAAACATATCCACCCAATTCTATCGAATTCCTCAAATTGACTTCACCATTGTTGGACTTCACCATCTCGGAGAAAGCATACATGGTTTTTATATGAATTTCATGTAATACAATCATATCCACCCAATTCTATATCGAATTCCTCAAAGTGACTTCACCATTGTTGGACTTCACCATCTCGGAGAAAGCATGCATAGTTTTTATATGAATTTCATGTAATACAAACATATCCACGCAATTCTATCGAATTCCTCAAATTGACTTCACCATTGTTGGACATCGATTCTCACTTTGAAACCATCCAATCCTCCCGTTTCCTTGTATAATTTAAAGTAACAAGAATATTTCTTGAATTAATAAATTTATAAAAAATATGTTATAGTTTTTGTTTTCTATAATTTTTACACAAGCCATATATGCATGATATTATTAAATATTTAGATCAGGCCAATATTATCTATGCATGCAATAAAACAAAACGTTAGGAGTGTGAGGAATGGCAATAGTTAAGCTTTTCGCCGCTAATTATAAAGTAGAAAACTATTATAAAATCTTTGGCAATTGGCTCAGTGTGCATTAATCCATACTTTGTGCTGCTAACTGTCAAGAATCAACTCCAAGAACTAATTCATTCTTTGTTTTAGAGGATCAACCTTTAAGTATCTTCCGATTAGCTAGGTTTTATGAAATGATACTTTTCGCTTTTGGGAAGGAAGGGAATTTCAAAGCTGGGACGAAGTTTTTGTTAAGGAATCACTTTGTAAAGCATATAATAATTGCTTTCGAGAAGGAAGGAAATTCCAAAGCTCTTGGACGTTTTTCAAAAGAATCACTTCGTAATTAAAGCATACATATAATTAATAATTGTTTTCAATAAGGTTATTGATTTCCCTATAATATTCATCTCCCACTTTCATGGATTTTTTTTTCTTAGGCAGGGCTTTATAAATAACAATGATAAATTATAGTTTGTATGATCACAGTGAATTGAATAAGCCTCCAATACAAAAAATAACGATTATTTTACCTTCGAATTCGTGATCTTTTGCAAGTGTAACTAGCTGGCTATCACTAGACGAGAAGCCTGTTAATTCATGGTTAAAATACTTAAAGAGTAAGTATCAATCTTCAATGAAGAGAGTTACCAAAAGAGAGAGAGAGAGAGAGAGAGATGAGAGAGTTACCAAAAGAGAGAGAGAGAGACAGAAAGAAACATGAGAAAGAATATTTAAAAAAAAATGAAAATCATGGAGATATTTTTATTATTTTTGTGGATATTGTTTAATTTTTCATCTTTTTATCTATCTTTTTGTGCAAAATGAATATGTAAAATAAATATTGATAATTATTTTAAAATTATTCTAAGATTTTCCATAAAATTCAGCTCACATGGAATTTTCTTCAAGCTGGTATAAAATTATATTGTCCAAAGAAGCATATAGCATATAAATTTTTGAAAACCTTTCAGTATAATTAATGCTCCACTTAAAGCTGATTTATCTGTGGAATCGACAAAAGGTGGAGTATTTTGTTTTCCAATCAACATTTTTACTCTATCTTCCCATTTTGGCCTCGGTAGAGCAATCCAATTATATTTTTCAAAAAAATTAATTTTTTTACTTAAATTTTTTATATTTTAAAATTATTTTAACATTCTAATAAAAAAAAATATAATTTTAATATGATTTTATACGTAAAACACTTTAAAAAAAAAAAAACAATCTTTATCACTGTCAGAGGCACTGTTAGCTAGCTGTGCCTAACAGCGCAGACCACCAGTTTGAAAGACCAACGAGTTCTTGTGTGGGAGCTTTGATGGCCTATTGCAGGGTCCGAAGGCCTGTACTTGTAGAAACTGATGTTACGTGTAAATTGACAGCAGGTCACTTTTTTTCTTTTTCTTTTTTTTTGAGGGGGGCGGTGGTGAGTTTCCTCTTTCTGTTTTTTGGTGTGTGGTCTTTTGCTTCTTGCCAATTCTTTGTAATCTTTTCTTTGTAATTTTCTGCAGCACCTGTTCCTGAAGAGATCCTTGTGTGCTCCAGTCGAGGAGTAGAGTTGCCTCAATTTTATAGCTGAAGAATTACAAGTGAAATCCAATGCCAAGAGCTTGCTAGCCCTTTTGTTCCTGATTCTAAAGTTGTCTTGAAAAGAATTAACTAAAAATGCGTGAAGAATCCGCTGTGTAAAATATACCATGGATTCTCTTACATGATATCATGGATAAACTGTTCATAATGCCTCTTTCTTTTCTTTTCTTTTAAAAAAATACTAACCCTTATTGAACCATATTAGAAACCAATTTATTGAGGAATTATGAGATTTAAAGACAAGAAATCAAAGTAAAAAAACAGAAGGAATGGATGGAGGAATGGATGGCTTTCGAAAAATTTAGACAAGATGTTTATTATAATTCTCGTATTTTATAAATATTGAGTCCTTTTAGTTTTTGAAATTTAATGGCAAAATCATTTCGATCCGAATCTTTATTTTTTTTATTTTTTGAGCTTTAATTTGAGAGAGGTGAGAGAGAGCAACTAGAATTTAATGGTAGAGAGAAACCGAAATTGATTTTCAATTTCTATTGACTCTCATTTTATGTTAAATAAGAAGCTATTATCTAGCATGCTAAAGAAATTTCCAGAACAAAAGGTGATGGAGTCCAAAGCTGTCTTGAGTGGTGCTTTGGCTGTTGTATCAATGGTGGTGCTGATATTTTCAAGCCAAGCAATTGATGATGGCTTGGATTGTATGGATTGTTTGGCGGGTTGTGCAACTGCTGATAACCCAAAACCTCTAATAACTTGCGTGAATAATCATCGACTGCGATAGCCGGTGCGGCTAAAAAAAGCCATCATCGACGGCGCGACAACTCATGGTTTCACCACCATAGAAGAGAAGAATTAGGAAGATGGATGTAACGCCATCATGCATGGCTACTCTCTTCTAAATAAAAATTGAGAATTGAATGTTCTCTCATGTTTAATATCATTTGCTCCAATCTTTTTTATGTTTTCTGGGACAGTCCAGGCACAGAAATTTCCATCACTTTGAGATCGAACGCAAAACTCCTGACAACCAACAAAAACCTTGGGAAGGCGTTTGGTTTGAAAAAAGACACCGAAGTCTTACAGACATAGACCAAAAGAATCGCACCAAACTTGTTCATTCAAATCTGCATTTGAACAAATGTAATGCTAAAAGTAGTTGCATCAATAAACTGAGCCAAATGCTACCTGATAGTAAAGGAATTAACATGAGGGATAGAAAGGTTAGCTTAAAGGTCAGGCAACGATCCTTCATTCCGATCTAAACTACAGTCAGAAACTCACTGCCTTGGATTGAAGCTCATCATTGTTCCTACCATCTAAACAGAACAAAATGGACCGAAAGAATATGATGCCTACGTCTCCAAAGACACATTTTCTTGATCTTGTCCATATGTTCACATATATTTAGCCCATTCTTGAAACAGTAGTGTACCTCCTACATGAGATATTGCTTACGATTTGAAAAGGTATGAGAAATATGTACAAAATGTTCTTGATCCGGGCAGCCTTTTTGTCTATGGTGTCTCTGAAACAGCATTGCCACAAAAACCAATGGGTCAATACCGTAGTCAGTAGAGGTGAATGAACTTCTTATTATAGAAGATCCTCAATCTAGATCCTTGTGTATAGATGCATGGAACACAGTTACCTCTAGTTTGATGGCAGATTTTTTCAGCTGATACGTAACAGGCAATTACAGCCCTCGTAGATTGCTATGTACCAATGATGGAGAAAGGTTTCAATGATCATCCTCAATGCAACGTATATCTAACAGTGTTTGGGATGAAACAAAGTGAATCCTGAACCAGATATACAATCAACTCAACGACCTGAATATACAAGCAGGGATCGTGGTAGCCCGCACTAGGATTGCCATTTTTAAAGTGAAGCAGCCAAGCAGCTAACCTGCTTCCAAGCCAGCCTAATAAACACCTATCAAGCCTGCTAGCAAAAGGTATATTAGCTAGAAAATTGCTACCGATCAAGCCTGCTAGAGGAGCCTGATAATGGTAAAATTGCTTCGACAAAAAGAGACCAGAATGCTTCCATGTCCAAAAATTCACAATATGTAAACTCCAATTCTCATAGTGAAAGCTTGTGACTGGACTTCGTTATGCTCTTGGCAGGCAGCGAATAAAAGTTGGCTCGCATAAGCAATCTTAACATTCTATGTATGAACCCACTGAAAGACACTCATGGACTCTCAAATTTCTCAACCACGGACCAGAAACTCGGATTTAATAGTACAGTAAAAATTATACTCTAACCCAGCAACCTGGGGAAAACTTTCAGGGAATAGCTTGATGAATCGAGAAAATATATTCCAGGCAGAGTATCCAACATGCATGACAGTTACTTCAGATGATGAAAACATTAAAAAAGACCAACAAGAAACAATTTCTTTTATTTCCTAGACAGACCATCCATTTCTTTTTTCAAAAACTTAAGCAAGCAGTAAATAAATAAACAGTGTGCCTATGAAATGTGATGCGGGTGCATGTGCATGTGCATGAATGCAGATATTTAATCAATGTGAGTGCCCATGTTCTTATGCATCTGTATTTCTGCGCGCATGCATGTAATCATTTGTTCCTAATCCCAAAACATAGGTGAGCGCAAATAACTATAAGTCTTCATTGGTACACACAATCATAAACCCAATCCATAGGCAAACACAGATAGACTACATTAGATCAGCTAGAAATAAATTCATTGGTATCCTCCAATATGCGTAGGGGAACAACCTTAAGTAATTCAAAACAAACAAAACCCGCATTTTTTAACACAAAGCACGCTTTATCCGAGTCGCTAACAATTGCAGAATAATTATCAAAAAGCACGTGATCACGTGTATCCTACTAAAGGTGCTGATTCAGATATTCATGTAATTCCTGAAACTGCAAAGCTGAGGTATCATCCCCCATTACATTCCCCAGTTCGCAAATCCTACAGAAAATTGTCGTTTCCATGGTTTAGCCCGATTGATCATTTCACAATAAAGTTTTCTTACAGAGCACCTAACGGCCATGAATAATAAGAGGTCGGGCGGATAAGAAAGAAAGCATAAATCACCTGCCAGAACACACTATTCAACGCTTGCCACGATGCCCGCCACCTGACCTTGCACCAGGATAGCGAGCAAATTGCAATCTTAAATGGAACGAATCGCGGTCATGCTCGTCAAATCTATAACCTGCAAAATCGAGCTCGACTGTTTCACGTTGCACGACTAACCGCGCTTTGAACGACGAATTAGGGGATCAATAGATAGCTCATAAAAGGCGTTGCAGTCATTTATCTCAAGTATATAAGCGCAGAATATACCAAACGTTCATCATCACTGTTGAACACACCCAAGTCGAAAAATGCGAAAACACCATACAAATCCTGACAGACAAAAATGCAAATGAGGAATGGGCGAAGACAGGCTATCTGATTGACACGGTACGGGGATTGAAACTGGGAATCGCGTATTCTCTCATGTTAGCTAGCCTGTGCATAGCATAGAATGCTGAGATGAGAAAACACAAGGCTAAACTTGACATGAGATACTGACAGCATCATCATTGGATCACACAAAATACAGTTAGTCATATGGGTAATCATATAGGCAATCATATAGGACTAAAGCAGTTTAGCTAACCTATTCAACCAGTTTGGCTTGAAATCCATCAATAGTTGATGATAACTCGAGTAGGTTTAAAGCGGTCCTTGCAGTATAAGTGTCAAAAATGTCATGATGATTTGATCAATCCATCAATATGATCAATCAACTGCCCAAACTTTCAAGAACACGCCTCGCTAATCCACTTACCACCACTCAACTATTCCAAAGCTGGCTCATCACTAAAAAAATCTTGAATGCCACACAGCTGTGAACCCACCCCAACCCACAAAAGAAACTAAAAGGAAGTGCAAAAGGCATCGGTGCAATTATATAAAGAGTTAAAAACTAGCATCGAAAAGGAAACATTAGATAGTAACAGATACAATGGGCCTGCAAACTGATACATGAGACTAAAACTCCCTAAAGGGGAAACAATGTAGAGCATGTTAAGTTCACCTTGTAATGCATCCATGGCAGTGGCAGCATGTGCGGGACTCAAAAAGTCAACAAAACAGAGTACTAGTGGATCTCCCCCAGGCTGCACATTTTAGCAACCAGTGAATCCATTAATGTTCTAAATATTGATTCAGCACATACTAAAATAATGTAAAGGATGATGTAAATCATAATAATAACAATATCTTGAAGACTCACATGTCTTGATTCCTTGCTTACAAGTCTCACTTCTTTGTAGCAAACAAAAGGGCGAAAGATATCTGTTAACCCCAAGTGAAGGAACAAAAGAAGAAGAGAAAAGGTCCAAGAGTACTGGAATTACATGTGGAAGGCCACAGAGCAATACTAGAAGGGAAAAAGTCCAAGTAAAACTATGATTACGTATGGAAAACAATGGAAGGATACGGGAAACTTCCCGTCGTGTACAGTCAGAAGGTAAGCCCTCCACAAACAGTGTGCTGCTAGCATCAGGAGGAAGGGAAACCTCAGATCTTCCACTTCCCATGCGCAATGACCTGTCTTTTACACTAGCCCCAGGGTCCATGGGCCCCATGCTCACCATGCGTGTGTCATCAACAGGATGACTAGGCACCCCGCTCATTGCTCTAGCAGACTGTCCCCCACCATATGATGAAACTGTCTGAAACATTCATTCAATTACTCAGATAACTTTTAATCATGAAGCGAGTGACAGAGGTAGACTTGAGGTTAAAAAATAAATCAAATTAACCATTGTCAAAGGCTTTTGGCCGCTAACATATAATTTAAGAAGATTTTGAACATAATTATTTTAGACACTTTTCTTATCAAATTGAGATATTAACTTTGTTTTGGTATTACGAGTTGGTTTTTTCTTTTTATGACATTCTTCTGTGCCTGTATAAAAGCAGCGTAGCTAGACATTCAAGATAGGCTATCGTAACTAAAATTTCAGATATTATTACTTTCCGTGGTAACAAAGAGATAAGGAATAACCAAGTACCCCACTACGCAAGTAACGGTCATAAGATGCTCCGATGGAGTCTGAATCTCTGATTACATGAAGAGCTCCTCTATCATCATCACGGGAATAATAACTGGATAGGTCACGGCCGCTTGGGATATCTGCAAGATCAAGCATGTATTTCAACATAAATAAACCATCTGAATAAGTTGAAAGGAGGAACATCCTACTGCTGCACATCATTCCTAAAGCATGGAAATAGCACTAATACATAAATCTTTCAACAGAATGTCAAAAACTGATCTAGATCAATAACACACAGATATTAACAAGAACAGCAGACTGCTACATCACAGATAATCAACATGCTGAAATAACCAAGGCTTCACAGAATAGGCCGAAAAGAAATATCCACCAAAATTGAGACTTTAAAAAGCTCCAGTTAAAATACAAAGGAAATGGCAAAACCAAAAACATTATATCAGGAAAAAAAAAAAGATTTCTTTTTCTTAAATATAAAGACAAAGATAATAAACTCTCCAAGAACATTAATTCCTATATTATAACGCATCAATATGATAAAATTCCTTTAAAAATCAACAGCAAAATTAGTTAAAAGATCAACCCTTTCAGCTGCCTTTTCCTTTCAAAAACAATTAACACAAAGCCTTCCGCCCCATTACCAAAAACCCGTGATTAAGCAAGCTATCAAGCACGTAAATCAAGCAGGACATGCCACAAAATGTTAAAAGAAAACCCTGATTAACTTGTGCATAGAAGCGGGAAAAGATGGAAACTTTGCTATAGATTGAAAAGAAATGAGTACTAATTTTGAAGTGGTACCGTAATCGATGCGAGGGCGTTTTCCGGTGAGAGTAGACACAGACTGCGGCGGCGGGCGGCGGGTGGGTGCGGGAGA